AAAACTTTTCCGTGGACGACACTTGGTCAAATACTTAATAGTCTGATTCATAAATATCATCAGCTTATTGACGTTTTAAATAACATGTTTACTATGAATACTCTGTCGTCATAATTCGATAGTTACTCATAAAATGTTACCTAAGTCTGCTCAATTTTTCGTTTCGAACATTTATTATTTTCGTTTGGAGACATTATAAAGCGTCTCAACTGATTTTCGATCATGGTGGTCACTGGTAAGTCTTAATAGTTAGACTAGCCCACTACGCAGGAGATATTATAGTGCACAAGTGTGTGCGCAAACAAGGGTACACTCTCATTACTTTAGCTCAAATTCAAATCACTTTAATGCATCCATAGTGTAGGGTGGTATACAATTTTTGACAAAATAAGTTCAAAATTGTTCACACTTACTATATATACCTATACATGTCCAGTGTTTTATTCGAGAATATTGTTTATCAAAAATAAATTACTTGCCTTTACCTATTAATTTAACCATTAACATATATATTTATATTTTCAGGATCCAGCGAAAGAAATGAGAAAAGTATTGGAAAAAGTTGGATACGTGGACTACAAGGTGGAATGTAAAAACTTGGTGTATATGTACAACAACTTCGCCAGTTTATGGAGTTAGTACTGATTTTATTTATTGAAATTAAACTCATAATAATAATCTAATAAAATTGGTTCTCTAGTTCCCTATTGACATTCAAATAATTATGTACATAATCGGAAAATCACTTAGTAACAAATTAAAAAACCGTTAGTCTACCTAATGGTTTTCATTGGGTAGTTCAAAATACTAGTCGAAAATGTATATCGAATGATGGAATTGACTCCACGTTTGTGTACTTATTTGCAATCTAGCCTCATTATTTGATCAGATTATTATCTGATTTCATAATTTAATCTTACCTAAATTTTATGATTTAATCTGATCCAAATTTATTGATTTAATCTGATGTGATCTGATTTCATTTCAAATCATAATTAAATTTTTAATTTTTTTCAATATTTTTAACCGACTTCAAAAAAAGGAGGAGGTTCTCAATTCGACCGTATATATGTTTTTTTTTTATGTTTGTTCGCCGATATCTCCGTTATTTATTAACCGATTTCGATAATTATTTTTTTGTTGGAAAGGAGATAGTCCCCGAATGGTCCCATGATAAGGAAATCAGGATCTGATGATGGAAGACCAGGGAAACCGAGGGGAACTTTTAAAAATTACATGAGCGACTAGTGCATTTGTTAATTTTTTCATTAAGTATTGGAAACCACTACCATCTGATAAAGGTCTGGAGTCGATCTGATGATGGAGCCGAGAGCCAATCGAGGGAACTCCTCAACGGTTAACAGTAGCTACCTTGTGTTTGGGTTTGATTCATTTGTATTGATGAGAACTTTACATCGAAGTGGGGTGTAATTATCAATAAGGGTCTGATGATGAAGTAGTACGATAGTTGAGGGAACTCCTTATCGGTTACCAGTAGCTATGTTGTGTTGGGGTTTGATAATTTATCTATCAGTGGCTGTGTAAGCTATAAGTACGTATGTATGACCAATAATAGTATTTTTTTCCTTTTTAGTTTTTACTTTTCGTTTGTCTTTAGTTTTTGAAGTCGGTATTTTTAAACGCAGTTTTTTAATTTTTTAAATAAAATGATTATTGAAATTATTGTCGTACAAAAACAAAAATAAGTCAATGTTGGGAACAAGTAAACGAATCCCTTTAAATTAAAAAGTGTATCCAGATTGACCACCAATGAAAACAAACTACGCCCCAACATAAATTACACTCTTTTATGGTTTCCCTGTAAAACAAGAATTTAGTTTACATCGACCGATGTGACATGATTTACAGTCTTGAGTCTACGTCATCAATTCATCGCCGTCCAAATATAGTTCCCCACAAACCTCTTACTATAACGTTCCTTTATTGTTTGCTTTGCAGAAACCCTTCAAGCAATCAACCCATTCAACATCCCGAAAGATATGGAAGAAGATTTCAAACAAGATTACTTAAATATTTTAAAAGATATGAAAATTGTGTCTAAGTATAATACCGATGAGGCAAGTGTGAACTTCAAATATCGGTTGCTTGTCGTACACGCTCGCAAGCCAGCCTCAGAATTTTAGGGAAAATAATCACAAGTAGACTGACTGAATATTTGTAGTACAATAACAAAACCTGATGCAAGTTAGGAAATTTTAATCTTCTCACAACGTAGGCACAAGTAACTGATAATATATATTCGCAACATCTGGCATGTTAAAAGGATCCAATGAATTTGTTTCGGAATCTGCATTGTCGTATCGGCAAAATTTTGGTTTGTGTAATGGGTGAAGGCATTTTGGATGTATGGTGATGGTATCAGTGTGCGTAGACCATCGCAAGTAACCTGTTTAAAAACCAGGTTATATTGTAAATAGATTTGTTTTAGATAGTAATTAGTTAAGTATTTATTTATAATGTTTAGTCTTAAGATGTAAGGGGTTAAGACAATATTCGATATCAGTTTGAAATTTGCTTTTTGTTCTGTTCAGGGAATAAACTGATCATGATCACATGCTTACAATATTTTACAGCCTTTTGACATAAAAATTATTATAATAATTCGACATCACACGTTAATTGAGGTATTGCAAGTACGATTGCTGAGCAAGAGGAAACAATATTATTAGGGTCTTTCGCATTTTATAAAATTCTTAGTAATGGCACAAAGTGTTTTACCTTCGTCGGGCAATGTAATGTCCGTAAGTGTAATGTTTCATATAGAAGCCAAATCAAACAATAATTTGTAATTCTTTGTACTTTTGTTTGGTGATTCAAGAAAATAAAATGGTTTATATAACAATATTTATTATGTTTGTGACTAATAAATTTTAACTTTGACATATTTAAAATCGTATAAATCTATTTAATTTGCACTGTATTTGCGATATTTTTGTATTTTTACTTAAATGTTTATTTGCCAATTATCCAATGAACGATTGTATTCCGTTTTATAAAGTTTGATAATTAATATAATAAATTAATTTTATTTTATAATAATTTATTTTTATTTACCCTAACTAATACATACGTAATGTGTCACCCTTAGTATGTCGTAGAGAGCAAATAAATATCAGTCGCTTTTTGTAAATACTAACTTTCAGCCAAATCTGGTTAAGGCTCAGAGCTGGAGTTCAAAAGTAGGTAATAGAGAAAAATTCCGAGCTAGTTATACATTCAAACTATTTCACAATATTACATACGATCCTCTAACAATCACACAAGTAAATAAAAACAATGATATGTCTGACAAATAATGTCAACACACCTAAAACTGTCATGATAATAACTCATCAATATATTTATGATACAAAATGTTATGAAACAACACTCAATTATTTTCTTTAATAATTGAAAATACTAACAAGTTACAGGGAGAAAAGTGAAGAAATAAGAAAGGACTTAAATAAAAAATCTACCAAGATGAATCAGAGTCAGCGGAAAAAATCATTACGTGAAGTATGTATCAAACAAATTTAGTAGTGACGTTTATTTTATGGTAGTTCATTTCCACAAAACGGCACGAATTTACTTGAAGACAAACATGAAGGCGTTCAAGCGCTGATTTTATTTCTTTTTTTATTCTTTTATGTACACACGGCTACACATCGAGCTTTACATAACCAGTATAAACTGAACGTTAAATGTGCGGAAAGAAGATGCGACGCGACACCAGGGCCTCTAGCCAAAAACCACTTTAGCGCTTGTCTACAGAGAGAGTAGAAATCAAAATGTATGGGGATGACACTGACAAGTGTCAAAATTTACGTCAATTCCATATAATTTGGTTTTCTATTCTACATGTAGACAAGCGCTAAATGGCATTTGGCTAGCACTGCAGGGTAGACTGGTTTTGTATAGATTGATGTGTGGCCGTGTGTACAAAATTTTATTATGGCACATAAGGCGAACCTAATGCCATATGGCATTCTCTACCAGTCAACCTTAGGGTAACGTGACTAACCTGATTTCGACGCAGACACCATGGCTTGTCCGCGCAAATTCTCTTACTCATAATATAGTTTCTTGGTACCTCTTTCTGCTACTTCTACCTCTTCACTGTATTGTGTAAATTGTTTTATATTTAACATAAGTTATTGTTGAGTATATTAAGTAAGATGCTACCTACTATTAGCAGAATTGAAAACGATGATACACGATTCTCTTAAGATTGCGAATTTTGTCAAGACTACAATTTTTCCTTTGGTCACGCGTTCAAAATTGAGGATAACAACTAATATTGCATAAATGAAATATTATTGTGTATCATTTATCATTGATTTTTCAGTCAAGGACGGCTTCTATTCTGTCCCAACATAGGCTACAAATGCTGCAAAAAGATCTTGAGGCACCAGCACCACCAAATGACACGTTGTACTTGAAAATAAAGAGCCTTCGAACATCAGACCTGGAGCCTAAGTATTTTGCCATAAAAGTGACATTCTTTGATCAACTGTTAGTGCACGCCATCATCAAGTCTATTGGCTCGAAAGATGAGGAGCCAAATAATTTTATAGCCAATGGCACTTTCGCTTATGATCCGTCAGACTATGAGAAAATGTGCATGTTTGCTGATAATCCCCTTGTCGGTATGTCATAGCAATTTACTTTACTATCTGTTTGCTGTCAAATATCTGTAATGTCTCTTTTTCTTTTTTCCAATAATGGAATAAGTTTAATTCTAGTCATTATTTTCTTGATTCTGGAATGGGACTACGCCAAAATCTTAACATTTTGCTTCACAACGTCCCTTTTCATTAAAATGCTTGTTTGATTATTTCATTTTTAATTATTCGATTCAGAAAATCTTACTTGTAACTCAAATTCTAATTCGAGGAATATACTGATGTACCATTATGTATTTTTTCAGTTCAAGTGCAACCGCTTAGAAGTATTGATGTTAGTAAACTTTCAATTAGCATGGACTTAGGCAACTTTATTAAAATATCTCACACTTCAAGCATCAGCTGCTGCAATATCGATATTTTATCAATTTTTATTGGTTCAAATGGTATGGCTAACTAAACATTATTTTCGAGTTTTCACCTAGCATTTTTTTTTAAGTGGGGAAATCATCGCATGGCTGCTCCCGCCTGGGTGAGGCGGGAGGGAGTGTCAGACCCTTACTGACTAAAAACCACCTGGTTCCTTCTCCTGCACGTGGAGCCGGAGCCCCGAATGAACCCATATTACTTCAAATGGCTTTGTCAGTTCTGTTTACAATAAAAACTAATTTTTCTATCCTTACACACCATGCTTAATTACCATCAAACGGAAAACGTCCAAAACTGCTCTCAACCTCCCTTAGGTATCAACACATTAAACGCCATGGGGGTCACCAGTGACCGACGTTAGCGGAAGATTTCCCTTCAACCGTTTTCTATTGGCTGTCAAAACCTTAACACTTAAAGTTCTATCATAATTATAACCGAAACTAAAACTAAATTTTAACTGTAATTATTCGTTTTAGAAGAGCAAAAGATGTGCATAAGGAAACGTTTGGAGCCGATGGTGCCACCAGCAACCTTAAATGCGAAGAGTTGGGATACACTCCCTCTTCTGACGATGGAATTGGTCTTAGAGCGAGATCCTCTCAACAGGGCACACCAAATGATGCTGCAAAATGCCAACTGGATGAAAATTACTCTCATCGGCTCCTACAACATGTTCATACCGTTCGAAAAGGAATACCTGTATACCGCGGCCACAAAATCACCTCTGTACTGTGAAGCTGTAAGAACAATCCAACTATCTATAAATCTTTTAGTTTCTGTGTTTTAATTTGATTCTCCGTTTCTTTGTAAGAACGTTATTAGTTAGTTTTTACTTTATTCATATTCTTTTCTGAACTGTATCTGAACTGTATGTATTAGACCTTGAGTAAGAGTTTTATGCTTTATCCGGTTATGGTTAAAATAGAAAATTGAATATATAAAATAATTTAAAAAGTGCTATAGAGGTAGAACTGTCAAAATTCTTGAATGCATTCTCGACTTTATTACAAGTAAATGAGTTTGAAATTTTAAACCCATTGGCTCTTCTGTTTTATTTTTACAGAAAACTGGAATAGTTACTTTCAGTCAAGGCAGTCGAGAACCGCGGCGATTCAAATGTATGGATTTTTACTCTAAATGGGAAAGCTTGAGAGCCACCGGAGAATTGTTTACACACTCTGACGTAAAGTTACAATGTAAACTGAAAGATATAGTTAATGAGGACAACATTGATCTTCCTTATTACTTGAATCAGATACTACCTTATCGTATGTTCCAAATCTATGAATTTTTTGTTTATGAGTGAATGGTTGAAAGAACTACTGAATGTACCTACAGCTGCAAAATTGTTGCTGCCTAATGAGGCAACTCGACCAATGGGTCGAGTCGCTTCTAAGTTAGGTTAAGTATTTAGAGGTTTTTCATTTCCCTGATTAACAAATCCCTGATTGAGTCACTGAACCCTGAATTTTGCAAGGTATTTAAAAAAATATATAAATACTAAACAGACATTACAAACAAAACTAATTACACAATTACTAGGTATTTAATAACTAGGTCACACGACAAGACGTGTGTCGCGCAGTGTCCGGTAGCCGGTACCCGACCTCGGAACCGTCGGTAGACTATCTGTCGCGGCCAAAACTCCTCTTTCATTAAGGTTGGCAGAAGTTCAGTCGGCATGGCAGTGTGTTGAAAGTGCAGCTGCTCAACCTTCAAATGAAACTTTGCCCTGATCTTGATGAACTCCACAATCTCCTCAACCTTTGTGGAGTCATGCAGGCAGGACACGTAGTCCTGTATAATTGTGTCCTGTCAATGTGGTACCGCCCTGATTGCGGAAAGTAGGCTTCCTCTTCTTCTTTCTTTCGACTAGGATGAAGCCTTCCTTGTCGTTGTTAATATGATAGCAGTCCTACAGCCTATTCCATAGTACGCGTAACTGGTAAAATGTCATTATATAGGTACTGTTTAACTCTTCAGGGATGAATAGGAGTGTCGTTATGATAATAGGAACTAAAATGTAATAATTTAGGTTAAATTTTACTGCAATGATTTTTATTGCTTTTTTAGACACTGCCGTTTGGGGCTCGTTTCATCGCACTTTGATGCTGTTGGATGATTACGAGCAATGGTTATGGAGACATCTCAGAAATTACAAATGGCCACTGGAAATTCATATTTACGGTGAAACCGGCGGTTACAGTTTCATGGCGTTCATTAATTTGTTCCAACTTCTTTTTCCAGGAGGTAAGTTTGGAAGTCAGTCGTGTAGACCTATTTTTTAAACTTAATCTAAGTATGAACTCTTGTTGGTAGAACACACAGTTCGCATTGCTGTGCCTTTGAAATGGGTGGACGGTATGACGATGATGAAGGAGTGTGGTTGTGAACTGTTGCTCACGCCGAATGAGAAACCTCCGGTTATCACGGACGTGACCGGGGGTCAGACGCCGCCTCCTAAAGCCAGTAAAAGCAGCAGGTAAGCTTTTTTTTTGCTTAACTTCAAAAGTCTTGTAACATTTATTAATTTATAAGTAGGTAATACAATTACCTACTCCCACGTTGTTTCTGCTCCCATTGATCATAGCGTAATGTTATATAGCCTATTTCAACTATCTCCACTTAAAAAATCACGTCAATTTGTACCATTTGCCTTTTGCCGTAAAAGATATACAAACAAATAGACATATAAGAGTACTTTTCACATTTATATTATTAGGCGGTGAGGATTGCGCAAACTCTATGAAAATTTTATTTTGAAATATTTGCGAGATACAGAAAAATAGGATAATTAAGATCAACATAATTTCAGAGGGGCAACAGAATCGATGGCAACAAGTGCAACCACTTTGTCGCCAAATCAATACAGACCTACTGGGTCTGATGCCAATGACGCCTTTGTATTTGTCGAAGTTCAGTTTGGACGTCCACTTAAAGCTATTTTTAAACCACCTAAAATATTAAAGTAAGTTGATCATGGAAGAATAACGCTTATTTTAAGACTAAAGCTTTGAATTAAATTTCAAACTTTTGGTTTAGAAAATAATTTAAATGCTACCTTCGCTTTCCAAACCTGCGACCTCTAAGAATCTGTATTACGGACCTAGTATTAAGTGACGTAATGGGAAAAGCAATAGAGTCGATTTAATTACAGAGAAGAAATAACAGCCATGCTTACTGAAATGGAATTAGAAGCTCCCAGGCATCGAGGATGTACTGGACGTGGCCAACTGGAGAAAGACTGGCAAAAAACCATACGAGCTGCAGCGAACGCCTTGCGAAAAGTACCGTATTATGGCAAGTTTCTATAGAACCTTAATTTATTAACTTTTATTACACCGATATAATGTCAGATTTGGTTCTTCATTTTCATCTTGTCTATTAATTATATTTAAAGCTAGACTAACACCGTAGGTAACGGCAATATTGCCTTGACACATTAGTTTTATTTTCTGCGTTTGCAAATGTGATATACATACAAACATATATATGTAAATAGGTAGTAATAAAAGCTCTGACAAGAAAAGAAGAATTGTCCTTACTGAAAATATTAAATCTACTGCCTAAAATACTAACTTTTCAACTACTTTGCATGACTGTTTATTGCTACAATACTAACCTAACCTAACCGAACCTAAAACGTCTGTTGTCGGTAACTTAGTATTTTTTTTTTTTTTTTTTAAAAAACATTGCCCCACACTTTTTTGTCGGAGGTTCAATATTCTATTTGGAAGTTTAGTTTTGTTATTCGAAGATCCATTTTTATAGTCGGCCACAGATCGCTGGAGATTAATTTGTTTTTCGGAATCAATCATATTTTCCATTGTAAATGCTTACCTACTATTAGTCACCGTTTTTACTTTATTATATCCGGACTGTTTTTCGGCTCTTTGGATGTGGCTTCTTAGAGTAGTCAGTTAGGTAAATCGGAAAACAATAATAATTGATTTATTTCGTTGTGTTAACATGTTATTATTTCATGAATAATTATCATTTTTCAGGAGCAACAGAGTTTTGCACGTTCAATCGTCAACTAAGTGAGACAAGAACTCGAGTGGAACTTACCACATCGTGTTGGCAGAACGCTGCTATCTACATCAACAATAATTTCATCGTTAAACAATATCTGGACTCTGATGAAATGTTTGAAGTAATTATAATGTATTTTCTATACTTCTTTAAAATTATTAAAACTAATGAAATCAGCACTGCTTTGTATCTGTTAATTTCTAGTATAGCATTCCTAAATACAGGTACAGGTGTCATAACAAAATAGAAGCAACAATCAATTTTCCCTTTGTTTAACCACTCGAGTAACGAGGTTTAGTTTACTTTTTACTTGATTTCTATAACACTTGATAGAGTTGTCTATTTAGGAGTTGGTGATGATGGCTCACGCGTGTCTCATGAGGTCTGCGGCCGCCATGCTGATAAAAAGTAATATCTGGAACGACATAGATCCTGGCTTACGAGCTGCCAGACATGCTCGCCTGGTACAAGACACCACACATGCTGTGGAACTTTACCTACAGGTATGGAATGATAAATTAGACAGACACATAGGTGTCTGCCTAATTTATCATTCTTTTAAATTGTTTGTGTACGATTAGGGTAAACGAGCTGACTGATCACCAGATAATATGCAATTTACATCTATAGGAGTTAAAACAACGTTAAAGAGCAAGCTATTGGTGCTGGACTTTACCACATTTATTCACATATTTTCACACGACCTCAAATTACTAGTTTAAAAAGCGATAATTACTAGTTTATCGAAAATTGGACAATATAGAAATATTCGGGGGGAGAATAAAGCCTGAACGTAAGAACTCACGACTTTGTTATAATTTTAGCTGGTAGGGGAGAAACCAAAATATGCTCATTATTGGCGTGAACTGTCAACTTGCTTGAAATATGTATATAAAGACTGGGCCATCGTTTGTCTAAACAAGGCTGTAGTACTCGACCCTCGAAGCCCTTTGACGTAAGTACTTTTCCATAACATCCTTACAGCTATCTAAATAATCAATTAATCTTCTTTTTCTTCTTGTTCTTGTTGTCCGTTGTCTTGTACATTGCCGTTCTTTTTCATTCCATTTAAAACCAGTTATTATTTTCAAGGTAATTTGAAATGTATGTCTATGCTTTCAGACTCCTATCTAAAGGTGCCATGTTGTTTGAAGAGGATCCCACTGCCGCCGAACCATTCTTTTTTGCTCTTTTAGAATTTAGTCCATACTGGACAATTGCTTGGGTCATCACTAGCGTTTACTTCTACGAACGAGAGCTGTACCATCTGGCAGATACCATCATGAAATATGTTGATAAGTAAGTTTTGATATTGTCATCTTATAATCAGCTCTATTTTGAAAATAAAAAAAATCAATATCACGAATTTGAAGATGTAATAATATCCAGGATACGTGGGGAACAACATCATGATACATACTATTCGCGCTCGTGGGAACGAGAGCTAGGAGACTGGTGGGACAGCACGCCACTGCTGCCAGGCATGAGCCTGTACTACGAGGCAGCTGACCTTCTACTCAGGTTGAGAGCTGTGCCTGTACGTATACTTCTCAGTTAGGAGATACAACTTAGTGGATCAATACATCAATACAATTTTTTTACTTCTTATCTATTTCAAAAGTTGGCAGAAGCATGCCTAGCTCGTTTGCTGTCGGTGACGGTAGAGACAACGGCGTACTATCATCTAGTTGGCCTGTGCTGTCGTCTGCGAGGACAGTACAAGGAAGCAATCTGCCACCTAACTGTTGGTCTTGATAAATTTGGAGAGGTAAGATTTTATGAATTTTAAACTCCACAAACTTTTTTTGTCCTTAAAGAAGGCTTCTTTATTAAGTTTTATCCTCAGATTAATTACCTGAGAAGTCTGGAAGCTGAATGTCAACATAGACTCGGCAATAATAAAAAGGCCATCGCATCGTTTTCAAAAGTCGGTACCTGCGTTAGTTCCTTCAGGTATTTGATTTATAATAACTATAAATATGTAACGATTGATGGAATATTATTATAGCAATAATATATTGATATATCAATCAATTTAATCCACTAAGTTATAAATTAATCACGGGCTTCTCTTCATATTCTAATTTAGTATTCTGATGTCGTTGTCGTGTGGCGATAAAACGAAAACACGAGGTATTTTATTGGAACTCATACGACGTCAAGCCAGCGCATACGCATGGACTGCACTCGCTAATGACTGGGTGGTAAGCAATATCTTAGCTATGTTATTATTATTGTAGCATATTAACAAATAATTGAAAATATGTTCATTGGTAATGTTTAGTTCTTGTTTAATATTAGAAAACCGAATACCTACTATCCAATTACCCTTTTGAGTGTTCTATTCTTTACCACCAGAAGACGCACAATACTAATCCCAACGAAGAAGTCGAAGAAGGTGTGAGGAACACAGATCAGACTAATGCTAAAGCCTGTGCAATCGCCTGTGCCGTTCAGGCAATAAAGATAGACAGACGAGCGGGCCGTGCTTGGGCAATCTTGGGGAAACTAGTCAAACCTAGTGCCAGACGTCTACACTGCCTGCAAATGGCTAATTCGGTGATAGTTTAAACATTTTTTCATATATTCAATTTTGAAACTCTCACTACATGTTTAACCGACATCAAACGAAAAAAAAAGTGTTCTCAGTTAGACCTTTATGTATATGAATGTACGTATGTTTGTGTGCGTTATCTCGCGGTTAATTGAACTGATTTTGATGCGGTTTTCAAGGAGAAGGTTCTAGTATATTAATTAACTGATTTAATAAAAGACAGGCTCGGTGACGATTTATTTAAACGTAGTTTATGAAAGAATTAGACTCGCGTCTCACGTCTAACTTCGGATTGTAAGTTACACATATACATGTACATTATGTTCATTTAATATACATGTTTTTAGTTACAATGTTAGATGATTATAACTGTCGATGAATTGAATCCCTCGGAAGAAAACTGGTGCATTGTTTATGTTTTTACTTTTGTAAATTGGAATGAAAATCTCAGCTATTTAGTAATCATTTTCCTACCAAAAATCCTCCTCTATGGCTTGTATTCCTTTCCTTGTTGTATAATGACCTCATTATCATCATAGCCTTTTATCCCCGAAAGGGTAGGCTGAGGTACACATTATGCCACTGTACAATGTTACTTCTGTGTGCACCTCTGCCTACCCTTTCGGGGATAAAAGGCGTGATGTTATGTGTTACAATGTAACACCCACTTTTCACTATTTATGTTATGAGTCCCATGTAATAGGGGGTGAGCTTATTGCCATATAGGTACCGGGCACGATTCCAGACTCCGTGCTACTACTGAGAATTTTTAACAAACCCAGTACCTAATACCGGAATCGAATCCGAGACCCCTTGCCCGGCAGTCGCACTTGTGACCACTCGGCCAACAAGGCGGTATAATGACCACCCCAATGTTTTTCAGTGTGGATGGGAAGTGACAGATGACGATGATGATTTATTGTCATCGACCCCGTGCCATTTTGTTGGCACCACGTTGCGAGAATGCCGATGCTTTGTCTGCGATAAAACAAAGGTGTAACTAATCTATGGACCTTTGCAATTTTAGTGGAAATTAAAAATGTTTGACTACTTTTGTTGGATAATTTAATGTAAAAGTTTTTTCAAAAGAAAAGTCAATGATATTGTTTTCATTAGATAATAATTAAAGTAGAATATTTTTATTTTAAATTAAACTAACAAATGTATTCACTTGAAAAATACTATCGTTTTATTCATGTGCAACTGTTTCTATACATAGTCATGTATAAACTAAATTCCGATATCTGTTTGATAAAAAGAAAAATATTATCATTAAACCACCCACTTCCGTACCTATGACTATATATTAACAATAGGGACTATTAAAAAAGTAGGCGAATAAAATATAGAGAATACAATGGCATTTGTCTTCGATTCAATTATTCTGTATGACGAATTTTATAATACTATATGAATATTTTCTAAACAAAAACGAATAATCTAATTTAAGTAATTTACATTTCCTGTAGGTAAATCATTTCTAATCCAGTTATTTGTAATCAGTTTAGAGACCCTTTTCCGTGATAATGCCATCGTAATCCTTTTTTTTTTTTGACGGAGTGAATATCGTCGAATCGCTCCACCCACGCTCTGAGTGATGCGAAAGGGAGTGTTTGACTCTTGCTAAAGGCTGTCTTAAAACTATGCCGCTCCATCACCTGCTTCGAACCGGGCCCTGTGCCTTTAGCCAAATGCCACTTTAGCGCTTGTCTACAGAGAGAGTATTAAACTAAATGTATGGGGATGATACTGACAAGTGTCAAAATTTACGTCAATTCCATATAATTTGGTGTTCTATTCTACAAGTAGACAAGCTCTAAATGGCATTTGGCTACAGCTGCTGGTATGTTCTCATGTCCAGATAGTTAATTAGTAGATTTTTGTGGTATGTAATACCAACCTTGATAGATTTCTTTTCTTCGCCACAGGACAGCTGACTCGATTACTCGATATTATGATATTTTTCAATAAGATCATTCACAATACGTATTGTCCTTTCAATTCAACTATGGCACCCTTTATCCGAGTAATTGTTTGTTAATACAATAGTCATAAACAACTCACTATTCAGTAAAAATCAATTGATTTTACAAACGATGACGTTGTATATTATCGTTTCGTTTCATCGATTGCATGAACTTAGACCTAAAAAGAATGAACATAAGATTTCTATTGTTTCACCTGATGATTACATTTTGTAGACTACGCCTTTGTATTGTTTATAGATGCTGTCCATTAGGAAACTCTATTAAGATTTTAGGTCGCTATACTTAAAAGTTTTAAATAACTCATCATCACTTATCTGGTGAGAAATAGATAGATTAAATACAAAATACAAACAATATAAAATATATTAAGAATGAAAGGCTAGCGAACCATCAAGTTGGCGTTGGTTATGTTATACGTTAAAATATCCTGTATCCTGTATAACATAAACCATGTAGCCACAAGCAAGGGCACCGTAAGGCCGTCTATTATTACGCCATGACCTGTGCCACCCTATATTTACGCACTGCTAGTTTGCATAACACACCTAATTAGCTATTGAATTCAGTAATATAGGTCAGTTTTGCGTTAGCTAATTTCTTGTTAGCAGTACGAACACATAATATTTATCTAGCTGCCCTGTTTTGTAAACATGCCTAATTGTAGGTAATGGGGGCACTTCCTTGTGGCCTTAAAACTAACTAGGGCTGTGATGAAACATGAGATTATATATTTAGTTTACATTTACCATCATCATCAGCACTGCCTATAGGGGCACCTTGTTCCCTAATAAGTATCTAGGCCTAGACAATTCTGAACAACCCTTTATATATAATTTAATTTACCTAGTTTTAATAAGGCACAGCGTATTATACTTGTTTTAATCTAATTACATTCCAAACTGACATACTAGAAGTATTTGAAGGCATTTTAATTGTTTTATTAGCTGTACATCTTCCATGTTCTATAAATAAATAAATAAAAGAAACATAATCATTTAACATTCACTTTAATCACCCGATCTCAAATAACATAAAAAGACCAAACAAAAAATGCAACAATAACTTTATTACTTAAAATTAATAAACCCCTGATTGTTATTTAAACTATGTACAACAAAATCCCCTAAATCACTATGAACTACCTAACTAAATTTCCCTACTTAAGGAAGTAAACATCATCACACCAATTCCAAATCATTGAGGGCGGAGTTGGCATGACAATTGCATCAACAAAACCAAGCAAATATGCTTGTAAAAATGGTTGCTCTTAAAACCCAGTATCCCATTGGAAAAAGAAATGTACCGCCTACAGACTACAGACGACATATCTGTTCGATAACAGCTATAATCTTCATTTATATATGATTTTTTTTAAGGGTCGTCGTAATACAATGTCAGGATCTGGTGGAAGGGCAGCAACCTTAACAGTCGTGTAATGTGCCATAGAATCAGGTGGCAGAGTAGTCATAGTCGGTTCATAGCGCGGGAACATGTCTATCATCGTAGCTGTCAGGAGCGCCGCACCGATGATTGCCACCGCTGCGCCCACTACAGCACTAAACACAAATATTTCAACTTTAAATTAGATACTTTTAAATAGGTACACTAAGTTTATGCACTTTATTAGTCACAATATGTCTACCACGAGAAATCTTACAATCATAATTATGAAATAATAAATGTAAACGGGAAATTTCTTGTTGTAATCGTCAGAGTAAGAATAATTTATTCAATTTATTTTATATTATTATCACTGAAGTTATCTCTGCACATAATATTGGTAAACGTACGTTTTTAATCACTTTAAACTGGGATCAATATTTAGCGAGATAAGTGCCTATAAGTCAACACTAAACTTTTGTTTCAAGACAATCCTCCGTAAGTATCAACGGATTCACAACTTGCTGATAATTTATTTGAATTAAAGTGAAGTCACGACACCTATCGCTGTCAAAGGGCACGAAAGAAGAAAAAAATATTAAAACTACTCACATAAGGACCATTCTTCGCGCACCAACACGGACGAGATCTTATTGAACTCTGCCAGGGCCGCCGTTTAAATAGCTAATGCTCGGAACCAGCTTGAATAGACAGGAAGATAATATAATACAATAATACACACTCGATTCGATTTAGCAAAATGAGTTAGCTTATATAAACATACCAATGGAACAATCGACAAATACCTATCGAAGAATTTAATTCATAAAAATTACTATGGTGTTATTTGTTTATTTGGCACGCGATAAAATGCGACTTCTAACCACGAGATTTCTAGTTCGATTGAAGATTTATATTGTGTTTATGATTTACATAATGTATTGTATTTCATAGTGATCGCATAATGACTAGAAATGATATAGATAACACAAGCACAACGTCACACCGTCTAAGATCCCTGAAAGGAAAAAGAAAAATTAATCGTAGAATTTAACACTTCCTTTTCACTAATTATGTTATGAGTCCCATGAAATAGGAGGTGAGTCTATTGTCGTACACCGGGCCCAATTTATTGAGAAATTGGGAAACCGAAAAGGGCTTTTCCTGAGTTGGAAAGCAAACCACGAAAATACGGAAAGTACACAAAAGATATTTCATCCACTCATTGTACTAGTATTCTTGACTTACCAGCACTCAGTAGCCTCTCATTTAATATCTAGACGCCTCGACTAATGTAAGATTGCCACGATAGTAAAATAAATACATAGTGGACAAATATTAAAAACTAGCTGCTACCTATGTAGCACTTTCACTTCCGACTAAAACTTAGGTGATCTAGCTATACCTAGGTACCTAGTCGTATCTACATTATGTTGAACGACTAAGCAGTCATTAGATAATGCCCCACATCTCTGATACCATTTCCATTTGAAATGCTCGAGTTAGAACTACTTTTACCTTCTTGGCGCCAATATATAATGCACATTAAAAGTTTATTTCCTGATTATTATTTTTATATTTTTAAGATATTAGCGTTCCTAGATTCCAGTTTCTCATTAAAAACGTAAAAACGTATAATACTATACTAGTTGTGGCTGTAAGGTGTTTCATTGTTAACGTTTGATTATTTAATTCAAAGCAATTAAAGTCTTTACATTACAAATAATTTACATTAACAAAATGTAGTTTTTTGAAAAGTCGAGACGTTTTATCTTTATTAAGAATTGCAATTAACGAGGTATTAAACCCAAACTTGTGATATAATCGTAATTATGTAACGACCAATAGGTGTCTAATGATTAGTATGAGTACCTATAATTTTTACCGGTTCTAACGTCAGTCAGTAACAAACTTTTACACTACCGAAGTTGTTGTGTTCATAACATAACTTCATCTTCAAATTAACTATGAAGAAATCTATTGTTTTAAAATGTGTCTTTATTCTCATCTTGTACCATATGGTCAAAGAAGTAAACACCTTAAATTTCTTTGGTCTGGATACGCTCACGATAGATCTCCCACAAGGAAGAGTGAGAGGATCATTTGACTTGTTCAGAACTCAAAGGATGTTCCTGGGAATACCTTACGCAACTGTTACGGAAAGATTTCAGGTTTGTGTTTATAATGTCTATTTATCGTCTATTTGTAAAACAATATAGTTAACTTTTTAAAATTTTACCTTTAATTCTCGGTCCAGGTCGCTGGCAGCCCTCCAACTTGGAACGGCACGTTTACTGCAAACCAAGGAAACGTAGTGTGTAATCAATACTTTTCCACTTTGAGACAACCCATCGGTCAGGAAGATTGTTTGGTACTCAATATTTATACTCCACCATCTCGTACAAATGAACTATATCCGGTGATTGTTTTTATTCATGGAGGAGGGTTTTACTTTGGAAGTAACTCTAAGCTCATCTATAATCCTCAATTTTTGGTGAGAGAAAACGTAATTGTTGTTACCATCAACTATCGTCTTGGGGCGTTTGGTTTCCTGTGCCTCGGTATCAGAGAGGCTCCAGGAAACGTTGGCTTGAAAGACCAATTGGCTGCTTTAAAATGGATCCAAAACAATATCGCCTACTTTGGTGGTGATCCCAATTCTGTTACAGTATTTGGTGAAAGTGCTGGAGCAGTTTCTATTCATTATTTTCTTCTTACGAACTCTACTGAAGGACTGTTCCATAGAGCTATAATGGACAGTGGATCAGTTCTGATGCCTCAAGATTTCAAATACAATCCCATTGAATCAGCATCCACAGTAGCTACGCGGTTGGGTTATAATACTTTAGACCCTAACGAGTTACTGAACATTTTTAGAAACTCAACAGCTTCAGACATAGTTGAAGCATCCTATGCAGATCAGACTAATGACGCATTTTCACTCTACTACTTTACACCATGTATGGAGACTGCTGTCGCTAATGAATCAGATCCCTTAATAACCGAAGAACCAACACAAATAATTAAGAGGCCTGGTCTTAACGTCTCTGTTATCATTGGATTCAATGACCGAGAAGGTATTTATTGGGCCCAACATTACAATTACCAAACTGTTGAACAAGTCAGGGCTAATTTCGGTAGTCTCATACCTAACTACTTACAGTTTGAATCTGATGTTAATAGAACAACTTTTATCGATGATGCTATAAATATATATTTTAGCAACTGGACGGTAATAGACGGCTTGATAGAGTATTTTTCAGATTCACTGGTTTTTTATCCGTCGACAGTTGCGTCCGAAAGTTTGACGATGAATTCAAGCCGATCAGTGTATAATTTTTATTTCGATTATGATTCATTCAGAAACTTGAACAAATTTCTTACTCGGCTTCGGTTCACTCCTGGAGCATGTCATGCAGACGAGTTATTTTACTTGTTCCAACCGGCTGTTTACGCTGCACTGCCTGCTACGCCGAATGATGCCGCAATCATTGCAACTATGACGGCACTGTGGACGAGTTTCGCTAAGACTGGGTAAGTTTCGCGAACATATCTAATAATCTGACTATCTATCTATTGCTTATCTATTATGAAGTTGAGTAACGGTAGAGGTGCATGTACTTATCTATATTTGTTTTAACCGGTTATTCATCAGTAATGAAGGGAAATAATCCCCCTGCAATAAAGGTGACCCTGGCATATTGCCGTTATAGAATTGCAATTCTAATGTTCATGACGTCACTGATAATTTTGAAAATTCAGAAGCGTAATCCCTCTTCTTTATCAGATGCACGTACGACAAAAAGAAACATGTACCTAATATTTATATGTATTTTGTAGGATACCTTCAACTTCAACAACTACATGGACTCCAAGTAACCAGCAGTTGGAATTTCTTGAAATAGGCAATGAAATTCAAATGATCCCATTACCAAATCAACAACGGATGGAGTTTTGGCGGCAAACCTATGAAAAATATGGAAGGAAATAAAATAATAATTGAACCACCGTTTATTTATTTTATTCAAAAATCGTATCTAAGTATATATACTTTTGTACATCGTAAATGGGATGAAACCGTGAATCTCACCACTAGATACTAAAACAGTTTCATAATAATTAGAAGTAGGTATTATATAAGCCCTAAAACTAAAGTTACTTCTAGCTAAGCCTATTGAATGTCCCCAAGTGACTTCCTAATCAGCCAATTGGACATGCCCTGTGCCTATTCAACGGCTTCTAAAGTTCCGAAGTCCCTGAGATCATTAATACTTACCCAACTTATGTAGAACTAAGTACAGACAATAAGCAGTCATCAAGAAGATCAAATATGCCCCGCTAAGTAGTTGCAAATACAACTTTTGTTTCCGGTTTGATTATTGGGGTTTTCAATTTTAAAATATTTTCAGTAATGGTATGGTACGGTATGGTACGGTATGGTACGAAGTCCGAATATATAAATACCATGTAATTAGGTGTATGTGTTAGTGCAAGTACCTACCTTTATATAGGTAGGTAGATACGTGCACTAGCGGCTCTTGCGGAAAATTCTAACTGAATAATGAAATTAAATAAAAAATATCTGAATTAAAAATTCTTCAATTGTAACATTTATTTATTGAAATAACAACAATATTGTTTAATTACATATTAGATACTCGCGCAAGAAAAGTTCATCCTTTACGATGGCCGATGTGTCGATTGTGGTTGAATCTATGAGCCATCGTTGACGTCGACGTCACCGGAGCTCCTGTGGGAGGACTTGGGAGTTCATTCAACTTCTTGGTCAACCATACCATGAAGTAAACTACCAAACCCACACCGGTAACCCTGAAAATACAAAAATTATGGGTAATAACTTTGAATGAATAGGTTAGGTAGGTACTAAAATTTCCAAAACCCTTTAAATTTTATTTTTACTACTACTGGTACTACACATCCATACTCACGTCGTGACTCACGACTTTATGTAAACTATAAATATTATGTAACCTATACCTATGTAAGTACTTCCTAATTAGATCGCGCTTCCGCCATATTTGACACACAGTTTTCAACACGGTACGATTTTCCGGACTCCGGGCTCATGGTAATTTTAATCAGAATAATCCATTAGCAATTTTTGCCAGATATGTACCTACGGGAGTCGAACCCGTACAGATGTAGATACGTATAGGAAAAAAATATATAAGTAGTTTAGATTTTGTTCCTCAATCACAATAAAATATTTTCCTAAATAAAACTTGAATTTAACACAGAGATTAGACACACTACCTAAACGTTAATTCAATTAAGCAATGTATTTAGTACGTACTAATTAAAAATTTCCAATTTTTACTCACAATTTTAAACTCGGCAATCCCATCTTGATTATTATGTATGTCGAAGTATTTGCAAGATAGGTAGATACTATGAGCGACCTTCCAACCGATTTTCACAATTCCATTTGAAAATATCTAATGCCAGATTATCTGTAGACTATAGATCAATCCAAACAATAGGATATTGGTGCTATAGCTTTAACTTAATTAGGTAGGTATGTGCTACATTAAAACAGCAGAGCAGCAGTGCAGCTATGCTGAAAAAAATGTTTCTAGGTAAGTACTTCTTTGCAGCTACAACCAACTGATGGTTGTACCAATTTATACAAATTCGCAGGCGATGACTTGCGGATCAAACGTTGTGAGTTCGACCGGTCGCGGTGGACCACTGGCGGACGGTTCCTTAAAAACATTGTTTGTGTGGTAATAGGCATCACGTTAAATTATATTTTGTCATCAAATACGCACCAACGATACTGTAGAAAGCGGTATGAGCGGAAAAACCTTTAAACCGTTAACAACATTTAAAGAACATTCAAATCACTCAAGAGTGAGGCATTAAAGAGTAGATCAGTCTGACTTTTATTGAAACCACCCTGTTCCTACTCCTGCTCCAGCCGGGGCCACGGTAATTTATTGCGCTTTATCCACATCTCTGGTCACGCAGCATGGGAAAAATTACTGATGATTCATCTTTCTTATATCTTCCGATAGCATAGCTCTTAGTGGTAAGTAAGCCGATCTTTACAACAAACCACTATTGTTTGTTTGCCAACGTAAACATATTTTATTTATAGGTGCATAGGTACCTAATCTTAATCTATCTGATTATGACGATTAGATAATTCAGATTGGTAGGTAGGTATTAATTAATTACCATCAGTGTCGGAATGATGGACAGCTATTAATTGGATTTTAAGAAGAGATTTCGTCAACACTATCTATACCTAATTCAATTAAGTAGATATCTTTATACCTATCTACGTACTGCAAAATTTCGTGGCGGCCCGGAGGTTTAAGACGCTGGCTTCTCATGCATGAGAATGCGGGTTCGAAACCTACCAACGGCAAGTACCAATGTGACTTTTTCCGAGTTATATGTACTTTCTAAGATTATTTAGACACCACTGACAAACGGTGAAGGAAAACATCGTGAGGAAACCTGGGCTTATAATTTCTAATTATAAGTTTGTAATCGCCAACCCGCATTGAGCAAGCGTGGTGATTAATGCTCAAACCTTCTCCGTGTGAGAAGAGGCTTTGCTCAGCAGTGGGCATTTATAGGCTGTTGATGATGATGATGATGATGATGATGATGATGATGATGATGATGA